ACCCCCTTGGCGAGGTGGGGGGCGGGAGGGGGGAGGCGAGCAGGGCTTGCCAAGCGCATTCAAGGAGAGGGGAGTCTTCCTCCAATTTTAAGGGCGGTGTCCTGGACGAGGACATCTGTTTGGGAGCGTTTTCATCTCAAGAACCCCAATGCTTTTAGATGGTGAAGGAACCTGCCTTAAGGATTATGAAACCAGTCTTCTGCCCTATTCTGCATAGATTGCCAAACATGATAGGATTAAGCGTATCCAAAAAAAAAAAAAAAGTGCCCACACTGCCCCCATGTAGACACATAATGAGAATTAGCTACTAAATATCCCTACCTTTGCACTAGGTAATTAATTTTCCTGGATAACAGCTCATTCAACTTAACATGCAATGAGTCAATAAGATTCAGCCTGTTCCAACACAAAGCTAGAGAAACTAAAGTGTAGGTGTGGTTGTGAGAAAGGGGTAACAGAATGACTTGCCCTAGGTTCCGATGAAGAGGTGAAAATTCACTCCCTAAACAAACACAATTTTTGAGCACCCACTATTTGCCAGGCAGAGTGCCAGAATCTGGGTGGACAGTGAGAAACCAAAGGACATGGTTCCGACAGGTTAGTTATATTTATTTGACAAGGCATCTTCCACCTAAGTCATGGTCCTTTAGACCAGAGCTCCCCAACCCCCCAGGCCACCAACCAGTACCAGTTAGTGGCCTGTTACGAACCAGAGGCACAGCAGAAGATGAGCTGCCAGCCAGCGACAAGAAACTTCATCTGTATTTGCAGCTGCTCCCCAGCGCTAGCATCACTGCCTCAGCTCCATCTCAGATTATCAGGCATTAGATTCTCATAGGAGCAGCAGTCCTCAGTGCCAAAAATGTTGGAGACTGATGCTTTAGCCAGAATAGGACCTCAGAGGTGTTTTCAGTATTTGTGAAGTTTTCGACTCAAACGCTTAGGAGGCTTGTTGATTCTTAGAAACAGAGGTAATTCTCCAAATCCATCTGTTCTCCATCCTACAGTCCCTGATTTAGGCAAGACCTTTTCATTTTCTCACCTAGGTTCTCATGGCCAAGAATACTAACAGTAGTCCATGCCTTCCCCTATAAAATGGAAATGATAATAATTTCTATCTCATAGGTCTTTTTAAGGGTTACATGAGATAAAATGGGTTAAGCGCTTAATGCAATGCCTGACACAATAAGTACTTAATTAAATGTTAGCTGCTACTGTTGTTTTTATAAACTTTTTCCCACAGCATTTAGCTCTACATAAGGGTCCTCAATGTTTGTTGAATCAAATAATGAGTGAAAAATTTTGGCATAACCAGTTAATTTATTTTGCTTTCAGTTTCTTTTGAAACAAACCTTCTTACTCTATTAAAAAGAAAGAATACATGCCCAGATAAATGCTGGTGGACTGATGAGGTAGCTACTTTAATCTTCTGGCTTCTGCAGGTTTGCTATGCTGCCCTGACTTCTCGTCTGAGAGGGTATTAACATTACCTGGGCAGTGGTATAAGCTATGCAAGTGATTAGAACTCCAACACAAAGTGATCCTCTCCCATCTGTGAATGCTTCTCTCATGATCAATGGTAAGCATCTGTGAAACAGCTGGCTGAAGCGCAGTCATTCCATGAATCAGAAGATCCTAGTTAACCCATGCAAGGAACAACCTCCAACCTACATGATACAGTTTGAAATAATTCAATAGTCAAGACACTTTTTCTTTGTTAATTTCCAAAAAAGCATGAATGAGGCATGCTCCTCCCTGTTTCTACTTTTTTTGGCGATACCTATATTCACAGAAAGAAAACAGATAATTAGCAAGAATTATTCTGATTGTGTCTTAGCCCTGGGTCTTGAATGTTTTGAATGAGTAAATCAATGATCTCTCTTCTTCTTCATAGTCTCTCCTACTCTCCATCAGCCAGATCAGAATTCTATGAATCATTGACCTTCAATAAGCCTGTATATTTAAAGAATGAACTGAATAGTAAACTAGATACCCTTTTATAGGCTCTTATAGAACTCTGATAATATAGTATAAATATTCCTTGTTGAGTTAGTAAAATAAGGAAAGAGGATCAGGAATCATAATTTCTTGAGTTGGTTAGGAGAATTTTAGCCTCTGGGTCCTTAGACTATGAGTGCTGTCTCTTGACCTTTGTAAACACTCGATTTAATACAGTTCCCGGCCCATCTTATGACCTTAATTAATATGCTTGAGCGAATGAATGAATGAATGAATGGATGGATGAGAAACAAATTAATACCATCTCTTAAAGTCTAGGAAACTAGCAGTAATAATGTTTGCTACACTTAAATATCTTAATGTAAGCTATCTATGGTTTCCTAACAATCACTTATGAATTGTTATAAATGTAGGTATTTCTGCTTGAGTTCAATTAAGTGCTTCTATTTCCGTGTGTGTGTGTGTGTGTGTGTGTGTGTGTGTGTGTGTACTACGCATGCTATATGGCTGAAGAGAAGGAGGTAATAGAAAGTGAAGAGAAAGAGAGAGAATAATTATTAGAAGATGTTAAAGAGTGCCTCAGTCTTGAATAAAAGTGCACATTTCTAGAGTTTTGACAAAAGGCTCAAGAAAGGTCAAGAGGGTCTACCATCTAAATAAGCATTAATGTAGGTCGTTCCATTGCTTGCTCCTGCAGCATCAAACAGACCAAAGAAACTTTCTGCCTTTCAAACTGCTATCCTACTTAGAGATATAACTGCCCTTTTACTTTCCCACTCCGAAATTCTATTAGCTTGTGAAGGAAGCCTTCTTCTGGCTTGTCTAAAGCTGTTTGTTTTTAAATACAGCTCTAAAGTTCTGTGGCAAACTCTCAGCCATGAATAACTGGGCTGTGCAGAGTATGTATTAAAAATAGCAAGCTCCACATCCACATGATGGATTAACAAAATGTAATTTTAAACAAAGATTCTCTGGTCTGACAGAGATTTAAATAGCAGCCCAGGCTACAAGACTTGGCCTTCTTGGGCAGTTAGATTTTCAATAAAAGTCTAACAAATGGAAATGGCCAGAGCTTCCTATTTGAAAATGTAGGCAAGAAAAAAGAGAGGCAAACATCATAGACATGTGGAATGTTGACAGTAGAAGGAACGTGGGGGATAAATTTCATCCTCCACCTTCATTTTGCAGATAGGAGAACCAAGACACAGAAAGGGAAAGGAAACATGCCGAAATAGTAGAGATTGTTCCTATTTTTCATACTAACTTCAAATTTAGTAAATATTGGTGTTTCTAGACCACCAGAGGGGGCATGAAAAAATGCCACGAAACTTAACCGGAATCATAATAAAATCAAAAGAGGAGAGTAGCCTTTTGCAAAATGCACTTGTTGTACTTGAAAGTTAAATCTCAATAAACCAGTAATCGCTGACATTTGGAATTACTTGGCTACTGCTTTTTCCTGCCAATAGGTGGATAATCAGGACTAGAGCAGAATCTCCTTGATATCTCGCAAAGGCACGCAGGCGCACACAGCCCCGTTTGGGGCCAGTTGAGCAATTTTACTTCTGGTGAGGTTAGGCCATTGAAATATTAATGAGATTTCCAGGACAGTGGCTATAACCCTCTTGGTAAACTCCAAGTGAAGCCCCCCACTCTGGCATTCACATGGTTAAAGGGCCTTTTTCCACACTGTCCCCCGTCCTGAGGGTCTCAGTGGTCTAGCTGTGAAGAAACTGTACCAGTATAAATCTCTCCACCCAAATCTGTCATTTCATTCTCTATTCCTGCTATTCTCATGAGAGCCAAATCTATACAAGTAGGAAGAAAAAAAATAGACTCTAAGATTCTCAATAATAATATCTGATAACAATTACCAACAATTTGTCATTCATTACAATCATAGAGCACTTTAGGGTTCAACAAAGGACCTACCATAAAAATCTGTTGTTTATCTGATCATCACAACCTCCTAGCAAAGCAGGTTAGTCTGGATTGTTGTTATTCCCATTTTACAGATAAGAAACGGAAGCTCAGAGAGATGGTAATTTTTCTGAGGTCACCAGCTTCTCCTCTCTATTTCAATGCAATTTCTGGCAAATGGCTTTTCATGAACCTCCTCCACTCCACATACCCACATATAAGTAATGTTGGCTCTCGATGCCTTTGGACTCTCACTGCTCTTCCTCATACTTCATGGTAGCTGCCTGATAACGTGTCTGTTTCTTTAACAAACAC